TGTTACGAAGGTAAAGACAAGAACGCCAACAGTCCCTAACAAGCAAATCTTCTCGAAGCTGAAATTTAAGAGTGACACTGCCAGTGAAATCATCATTTCTAGAACTTATCATCGCAACTTACTTAAAGTCTATAATTATTGTCCATCAAATGCCAAACACTTGATAACAAGGCTTAAATTAATGCTAATCGATCCTTGGTTCGAGTTATAGTTGGAGTAACATCACTCACAGGGAGGCAGTTACATCCACATGGGACGAAACACACATGCTGGATTCCATTACCAACCACTATCTATCATCACTGTCAAAATGAAAATACAGGCAATATCGAGGCCTCCACCGAAGAGCCCATATACCGATAGAAACTGGCCAATCCATTCCAATCAGCGGCAGGAAATCACAGGCAGTAACATAGCAGCTTAAATGTTGTTAAACACAATCATTGATAAAGATACGATAAATAGAATAAATTTCATCAATTTATCTGTAAGCTATCTATAATTTAATTTTGTTGACTTAACGTATAATTAATTGTTTTGAGTTGCTTTACCGCTGTCTTACGTTTAACATGTATTGCCGTTGGTAGTTTTAGTGACTAGATTTTTGTAAACTTGTCTCGGTAATCATTGTTTCCTTAGCCAGAAAACTGATCACAACTTGTCATTCTCTATCTAATGACTACTGGTCTAACATCAATACCATGAAATGCAATTATAAGGAGCAGAAAACATTACTGTTTTAAGAAATGTATACTTTCATTTTCCAACACATTTCAGCCAGTTTCTGTATAAACTAATAAGGTTGCATGTTACCTCAGTCGAAAATTTTTCAGATTCTACTCAATAAATCTAGAATTTTCATCTTACCATGAAAACGAAGTAAATGAGTAGAATTTTAGCCAAAATGATAATAGATATTCTTTAGCACTAAGTCAATTGCCCAATATACTTTAAAAACTAATATTCTCTTGTTACACTAACTATCTGTTCTGTAAGGTGATACAAGTTGTTGTGAACGACATATGGTGCAACAAAATATGCTACCTAGGTGAACACATGAACAGTTTTGTGAAAATAAATTCCTTTTCAAGGAGATGATTAACACCAAGCAACTGCAAAGATGAGATAAAATGAAGTCATTATAGTTAAAACGATAAAACTAACTTGGTATAGTATACACAATAGAGTAACATGATTTTGAGATAGTAGACAAGATTTGTAGCTTCAAATGAAAATGATAATTGTTTGGTGTTCTACGAGCTTTTAGGTTTGTTCTTTGACCTTTCATCATTAGGTTAGACAACTTCATCAGTACTTACCTCATAAAGAAGTGAAGTTTTTCCAGGTTGTTGTAATGTTTCTGTTTGTTGACTCTGAGCGTTACTGGCTGGTAAGTAAGGGTGAATTTAGCTTCTTTTTTTCAGCAGAGATTAACCTTCATAACTGTTTGTATCGTTTGACCTAATGTCTAGTTGCTGATTTTCCTGGTAGATTTATAGTCGGCTAATTCCTTCTCAGTGATCCGTATATCGGGTCAATGTCTAAGGGTCTGTTGATTGGGACAAAGTGGGAAAACTAAGACAGGCAAACTCACAAGTTGCAAGAAAACTTCTGACAGCATGGTGGTTCAATCAAATTCACCTCTACTCATAAGCCAATAAAACTCAGGGTAAGCAGATATCTGTTATATAACTCCATACAACCTAAGAACTCTTCACTTCTTTATAAGGTAAATGCTGACGAAGTCACTTGACCCGGTGGTGAAACTCTTAAGAACAAACTTCAACCACCGTACAACACCAAACAAACACATAATTTTAATACAATTAACCGTGAAAAATAAAGAGTTTGGCAGGAAGGGTAACTCGTTTAATTTTGATAACAGCTTTACCACAAATGAATATCATTTCATTAACTTACTAACCTTGATTATTGTTTCAAATTAAGTGTTGCCTACAATCTGACTGATAAAATTCAGTCAGACGTAATACAAGACTGTTCAAAGTATTCATTAATCCTTACTGTAAGACAGTTGTTGTATAACGATACTCCCTGGCAGCTAAAACCTCTTTACACAGAGGATTGTTTGAACCTACAGGCCATTGCTGTAGTTTACAACCTGAAATATAGTCTCGAAAATATTCTTTCCACTCTATCACTAAACCTTTATGTTCAATTCCATTATTTCAAGTTTCTTCACATCTGAATAAATATCTAAACCAAACGCATAGCCAAAGCCAAAACTTGACAATAAATACTAAGTATACTTTCTAGTATAATGCAAATTCATATATAAACCAAGTCCACATAAACTTATAATTGTGTGTCATTTCTAAACAATGCACAAATTAAATCAATAGAACTAGGGAGTTTCAATATTTTTATCAGTCATATTGCTTCAGAACTATCATCCTTATTTACTGAGGTAATTTAAGCAAATTTAATCACTATGAAACCTTATTTTTTTAAGAAGTTTGTTTAGCTAGTAAAACACCGATAAAGATAAGAATAATATTAGATAATTTTAAACAATAAAAAAGTAATTTGGTTTTGCCTGGTAGTAAAACAAGAATAAGTTACAAAATGTCAAAATGATACTTAACTGTTAATTGCTTACAAACATGAAATTGATATTAACGCAGGATAGTGAATAAGAGCGGAATCCAGAATGCGTGCTTCGTCCCATCTGGCATTCATCAGCAGGACGTACCTAACACCCAGTGAGCGATTTTGTTTTCACTAGAACCACTTCATACGCTAAAGTGTTACATGTTATGCATTAAGTAATTAGAATTTAATCATACCACTGGAACCTAAAATATGACTTGGATTATTTGCTGAAGAAGGATTAGATTGCTGTCAGCACGTACACGAGGACATATTCCAGTCTGGTTTTATAGTAGTCGAAGAAAATGTATTAGAAGTTCTATTCTTGAGCATTTAACCGATTCCATTCATTCAGCCGACCCAAACAATAATTTTAAGGTTGTCTATCGAATTCTCTCAAACATCTCACGTTTCTTTCGTGTTCAGCTTCTAAAAACAGCAGAGGCCTGGACTATCCATGAACTGAAGCCTTACCTTTGTGTGCAAAAGAAGTATATTCAGTCTTTGTCTCTACCTTGGCCTTAATTTAGTTTAGTCTTGGTGTTCTTCTTTACCTTTTCGTTTTTCACATACACCCCTGCTTTGTTGGACTAATCTTCGTACTCTTATATCCTCATCATCACTTTATTTTTATATTTTTGTCATTTGATCTTCCTAATAATCGCAACCGCCGTACTGCCAAGGAGTCTCATACTACGACGAAACAGCTTTTTAGTGCTCTCAGATTTTCTATGGTTTCCCAACTGATGTCAGTCCGTGATGAATACTACCTCTAAATTAAAAATCCCCATTCATCCCAAAAATACATTACTGTATAGTGCTCATTAGTGACTTGCTTCCAGACGGATATCACGAAGCTCTTATGAGAAGCCGTGACCTGTGGGGTCAACCAGTCGTAAGTAAAGCTGATGCTAACTGAAGACCTTGGGTGATAGTCGCGCTATGACGTGAATTGACAGAAGTTGGAAACTGTGAATCGCTGGAAACCAACCTAGTGGCTGAATGGTTAACGCGTTCGTCGTGAAATCGGAAGGTCCTGAGTCCGATACCTAGCCAGGTAGTGGGTGCATACTGCTGAGGAGTCCCATACTAGGACGAAACAGCTGTCTAGTGCTTTCAGATTTTCAATGGTTCCCCAACTGATTTCAGTCCATGATGAATGCTACTTCTAATCCTTTGATTGTTTATTGGCTCTATCACGTTTTCACCCCTTTTTAATCTATATGCACCTTATAAACGACTTAAATTGAAAACATTTGTATCCCGATATAAATTTAAAAAAGCAACGAATGTGAAAAAAAACAAGATTTAGTGAATTTATAGATTTAGCTCTTAATTATCACCCATCTGATATTTTGTTTTCTTTCCCTGATTTGTTTCGCCTAATTAACCTTATTCCTATTACCAATGTAATCATTATTGTTCGTCTCAATAATACACCCGGTTTTCTTACTATATTTGCATAAGTGCTATTAACTATCTTGCTTTCACTGACGTAATCGACGCTCAGTCAATTCAATTCTCACCTCTGTATCAACATTATTGTTATTATTATTATTATCCAAACTCAATTAGCCTATCTTCAACCCATTCAATTTTGAATACCCTTTTCTACCCTTTGCATTACCATTTCACCCGTAAAAACTGTTCACTTCTATGTTGTTACACCTAAATCTGTCTCAGTCTATGTTATATATGTATGTGTGTATACATGTTCTTTTCCATTGTTTAACGGTATATATAATGAAGTATGTAGAGTATCCAGCCGACGAGTACTACTGAAATGTATGAATTCATTAAATCCTGCCTTTTTTTTCATATTCGTTGCTTGTTTAAAATCTTACGTAACCCTTTTTGTTATCATCCGACCTTTGCGTCATCAACTAGCAACGTTAATATTGTAACCACCATTATTATCATTTAAACTAAATCTTCCTGATGGATTACAGTTTTTAAGTATCACATATATTTATACGAGGAAATGAGAGCTTCTGAGCTGTCGTGGAACCAGGTTCAAAAGATTTCAGAGGACAGAATTCACTGGAGACGTGCTACTGAAGCCCTATGTTCCACTGGGAACCCAAGGAACTAATAATAGTAATACAGCTTGTACAGTTGAAAAGAGTCCTCTTCGCTGAATATCTTGTTTTTGATGTCACAATGGGAATTATGAACGTAATGAAGGATTCAGGAGAATAATTTGTTTTTCACATTGGTAGTCGAGTGAAAGCTTCGGATGCATGTACACTTATTGATGCCTAACAATCTTTCTTCTCTTCTGGTTTGAGCCTAATGGAATTAAAAAGTTTGACTGAAGAAAATGCTCATCGTTTAAAATAAATTCTCATGATATTTTTTGCATATTAAAAAAAGATTCCCCCAATAATTATTACCTGAATATTCATTTTCTGAACAAGGTTTACATGAAGAAGCACCTTCACTTGAATATGTATTTCTTGGGCATAATTCACAATGATCAGATTTTTCATGTGCTCCAAAGCTTCCAGCTACGCATGGAATACATGTTGTCACTGGAGGTGTACCTGTTAAACGAATTTCTTTTATATGCAATTCAGGATCTTTTAATCCGTATAACTGTTGTATATAAGCATTCTCCACAAATAAATACCATTGAAGGATATTATGTCCAACGGGTACACTGAATGCCAGCGTTTCATAGGCGTATGGTCCTGTAAGCCGTAAAAGATAACTACCTCCAGGTAATTGTGAACATCTTTCATTTCTCATCTAAAGGAGAAAATAAAGTTTTATGTTAAGAACAAATGAGTGAATTTGCATTGTGTAAACTAATTTATTTAAGTTTTCTGAGAGATGTTTCAACATGGTACATTCTCAGTGACCTCCGGAATCAGTTCCAAAACCTTACGATCTTGAAATAGATGCGCTGTACTACAAATAATGACTTACTGTCTATTGGTTTCATCAGTGCAGTGGTTAGCTAAATACCATGAAACCTTTGCTTCTTCAGTTTTACTAGACAGGCCGTACATTGATTATCGTCAGTGATACATGTTATTCATGAAATCCAGCTTCCGTTTCAATCAATCTTTAAATGATATATGAACTAAGCACTGGCTTTTCACATCAACGGGTGTAGGCCTCATCCTTTTACCAGAATAATCCATGTTTTCGAGAAAATAGTATGGTTCAAAACTATTGAGATAAGATTACTGGTTATCTCTTCTCATATTTTATACGCAATGTAAAACAACTCACCTTAGTAGGGTATAGAATAGTGACAGTAAGCTTTTATTGTAATGATGACTTTACCTTGAGCTAGCTAAAGTTCTTAAAAAAATTTGTTCAGGGATAATTGATGCGACTGGCTATTTTTTTCACCAATTTATTGATGGTCTTATTCATTCTGTAGACAAGTTGTTGCTAAGTTTTTTTTAGAAATGATAACACATGTATGCATCAAAGAACATTATTGAAACCCACTTTTCACCCTTTCTTCAGTGGTAAAGTTTCAAATCTCAACTGGCTGATTTATTTGTTTGTTAGAAAGTACCTCAGCTATATGAAAAGTACTTTACCAAAGTTACTTGTTCATAGATCACTTGGAACGATTTCAATTGACCAATATTATGTTCAGTATCAAGTGGATACCAATCGATTGTTTCAGTTAAACCTAGTGAAACTATAAAACTCGAATTTGTCAGATGAGTTTAGAAATGTAAACAAGAATCCTTCTCCCTGTTCTTCCACTGTATATTTTTCGGCACGTATATGTGAATTGGTAGATACAGTTGGAGGTAACATGAATGAAGATATTTTGCAACACATACAATTTGAGCATATATTATCAGACTAATAAATTTTTGATACGGTATTTGCTGTTACAAGTTTCCACTTCTTAGTACCGAAAGAAATTTAAATCAATGCTTTGTTTGAATCAAGTGTGTGAAGACTGCACGGAATTATGTAAAAATCACTTAAATTAAAAATAATATTTCGTTTTTATCACTTTTTACACATTTTGTACTTTCTTCCCAATGCTTGTAAAAACTAAGGTTGTTTATCTGTACAACTTAAAAGTTGAAATTTTGGTTCAGTCGGTAGTGCTTTGCTTATCCTCTTAAACTTGTAAATACAGTTTGCTTCTAAGCACTCCAACTTCCGCCTCCGTCGACTACTGTCTAACGTGAATGCTGATTGATGGTCTTTGGTTTTTACAGGACTTCTCATACCACTTCGAAATACAATGACAATCAAATCAAACAACGTCAATTTTGAAGCGCTGACGATTATAGCCTTCTGAACTAACATTGTGGTGGACACTATCGAAGAGATAACATTCAAGTAACCAATTTATTATCCATAACATAGATACGCCTATTTTGTATTATAACGCATTACTTTTCATATTTGTGAACCATTGAATCCATTTTCGTTAGTTATATGTGGCTTAACATTTTGATTTACTTGACATTTCTTTGGGTCGACTACAAGTGTATGATATGAAATGAACTAGAAGTTCTTGGATGATTAGCTTGCCTCTGGATTCCAACATTTATTTAATTGATTCTTAAATTTATATAATTTATCTTTACGAGTTATTCGCTTAGTTATTTCTTACTTTTGACACAAAATTATGACAGTTTCAATTACTTTCATTTCCTTGTAATAATAGTAGTTAACAAATATAGATTACTAGTGTTAGTTTCGATTGAATAAACACAACAACAAAAAACAGCTACAATACAAAACTGTAACTCTACTTGTCAATATTCCATACATAAAGATAATACCGAAATATCTTTTAAAGGAAATGAGCTCTACAAACACAATCATACTCAGGTGTACATATCAAGTGTTGCTTAATAGTTTAAGTCTTTACATTTAAAAATACATTCTTATAGCATAATATCTAGTCAGTAATGAACAGTTTTATTTATTTGTTTTTCATTTTTTTGTGAAGGAATAAAGTTTAATTTCCATTCAGTGTACGGTATCCAAAATATGACAGTCATATATTTTACTATCAGATGAACAACATGTTCAAAGTGGATTATTATGCAAGTGGATGACTTTTTAGGTAGAACTACTTTAAAGATCAATCTGATGTCAGCAGCAGTTTTCTACTGAAAAGTCACTGTGAGTCAGGATATTAAATAGCAAAGTTGATCAGCTCATTATGCGAGATTCTTAGGTGAGAGTCAGAGTGAAATCACTAAGACAAGATTGTATATCATCATTTTCCTATGAGCAGATGGAAGTGTGAAATATGAATAAAATGAAACAGTTTACATTGCTGCTTACTGCTGTCAGTCGAAAACTGAATGTAATAAATTTAAAGAAGCTACTCATTTTTCTCTTAGTGATAAGCATATTTACTGGGACTTTTTCACAAACCTATTGTTCATCCTAGTCTATTCAAAATGAGTACTTTGTGAACACAATGCTGACTCGTGTTTCACCAGCTTCATCTCACTACCTGAAGTATTTATTATTTAACAGACACTTCTTTCAGAAGTTAGATACATAATAGGCTAATACACTAAAATACATATATAACGCTATCATGTAGAAAATGCTTTGCCAATACAATCTGCTAACTGGACACTAGAAACTATATGCTGTTTATGTTGCTGACATATCATTCATTCCATCATAAGTTGCAGGAGGTATTGGGATATTATTCATCCTGATAGAAAGAGATGGTAAATTTTGGGAGGACTTCTTTCATCAAAGTCAACAATTATCCAAGTAAATATGTAGATATCGCTAAATCTTTTCTTGATCCAAAGAGTTGAATAGCTCCATTTCACAACATATGTGTCGTTAAGTAAACACATACTTAACAAAAAATGTTGTCACTGATTACTGAATATCTTGTATATCTTATGTAATACAACATTAGTCTGTTTGTTTTTCTGTGAAAAATCTGTTATTACTATCAAAATCATATTGTTATTATTATGAAAGTGATTAGTTTGTCATTTTTACTATTCACCACCACCGCTGTTAAAACTCTGGGATCTTCCTTTCTAATTACCTACAAATAAACAAACTTTATCACAGGAAGTCAGCTGTGGTTTGACCAGCTTGGTGGTAAGGCCTTTGACTGCAACAACGAGTGACACGAGTTCAAATCTCAGACGAGGTATCAGTTTCGTGGAGGTTGCAGGTACTTTATCACCATTATTCTCATTTCTGACATGTGTTAGCTGTGTTTTGCTTGTTGTATCTTTATTTCCCAATGAACGAGATTACTTTGTTCTGAATCGAAAGTATTTCTTTCATTTTATTGCACACTAATTCTACATTTATTCCAGACTATTTGCAGATGAGAAGAAATCGCAAAGAAAATATGAGCTCAACTTATTCTAAAAACCTTATTCTTCTTGCTTTGATCAAAATGATCTAAATAACAGGTTGTGTGAGTTAATAGAGTCTTCTTCGGTAAATTTTATGTTTGTTTTTTAAATAAAATTGAACTTGACCAGGGTCTTGAACCAGTTTAGATGTTAACGAGTAAACAACCAGGACAAATGAGAATCTGGCAATGTATATGTGAAAAGTTCCTTTTATGCGTTTTCTACTGCTGAGCAGCAGTTTACTTCTTCAACCTTCAGAAAAAATTACAAGTCTACTTGCGTATTTGAACTTGTGTCATTCAGCAGAGAGAGAACAGAATTCATCCATAAGCTATTCATACCGTGGTTGGTATTCGGTAAAGCTAGATTATGCACAGGAATCAGTCATTCGATTCAAAACTATCAAGCAATCACAAAACCATTATTCAAAGTCCAGGGTTCAAACAAATAAACTGAAGAACACTGGTTAGACTTATCCTACGACGCAGATTTTCAACTTCAAACATTATACGCTAACGTTGTTGCTGGTATCTTGACTCAGTGACCTATTGAATGATGCTCTGACGTTTAAAGCGATCAGTTCCGAGCTCGAGTCTTAGTGGGAATAACATTGCTCACTGGAATATAAAAACATCCAGCTGACGAGCCCCGAAAAGAACGAAATGTGCACTCTGGATTCCACTTCTAGCCATTACCTATCGTTACCTCATACCCTAACACTGAAAATAGGGTGAGTCAGTCGATAAGGTGCACCTGTGCACATACTACGCTACCTATTGCTTCACAGCGAGATATGTAAAATATGTAATGCACAAGTTGCTTTGAAGAAGATAATCTGTATATCAGTGAGTTATCTGAAGTTAATAATCACAATTTTAAGGAAATCCACACCGAGTTTACATTTTACGTTCCAAATATGTGCAACCATTAAAAGACTTGTGGAGACAATCATCAGATCTCAGTAACCTACATCACTCATTTAAAGCTTCATAATAGAGTTTATATGACTGAAATGAAAATTTATTTCGTTGTTTCTTAGCAGAAAGAAACGTAGTAGATGCGATCTGCAGTGCCTTATGCCGGATGAATCTAATCACTGGCTAGTTTTCTTTTTACTACAGTCTAACAGTTGTTTAGTGGAACTCACAGATATTACCTGGTACATCACATATTCAGTACGTCAACGCTAAAATATTCGAATTCGGGGTTTGTGGGGATCTAGTGATTTTTCTCAAGTTGGTGTTCATCATGGAATGACATCAGTTGGAAGGACATTGGAAACCTGGAAGCACTTGACTGCTGCTTTGTCCTACTGTGGGACTGCTCACCAGTGTTCACCCATGACCGTACCCCACCAAGGATAGGATCCAGGACATTCAGGTTCCGTGGCCAGCACGTTACCATTGAACCACTGGGTGGGAATCCATTGGTTCTTATTTCAAACTTCTGTCAGTTCACGACATTGCATAACCATCGCCCAATGTCATTGTTGAGTATTTGTCCTCATGACCAACAGGTTTACCCCACTGGTTACGACTTCTCGTTGGAACTTCAGGAATCACCTCTCGAAGCTAGTCACCTATGAGCACAAGACTGAAGTTCCAACGACCAGTGAGGCAAACCTGGTGGTCGTAAGGACAAATCCTCAACAATGACATTGGGCGATGGTTGTGCAATGTCGTGAACTGACAGAAGTAGGAGATATCGACGATCGGATTCCTATGCAGTGGCTCAATGGTAACGTACTGGCCAAGGAACCTGAATGTCCTGGGTTCTATCCCGGTGGGGGCGGTTATGTGTGCGCACTGCTGACGATACTAGGACCATACTATGACGAAACAGCTGTCGATTGCTTCCAGGTTTCCAATGTTCCTCCAACTGACTTCAGTCCATGATGAATACCCACAAAAATATTCGTCATAAAAACTGAACAGTACTCAATTTTGTATAGGGCAGTCAAAGGTATGCTTTATTACCTTTGCCGAGCAGCCATTAGGACGAAATACAATTTTAATATTTAACGGCGCATGCTCAATCTGCACATTGATTATGGTCTCAAACGTTTATAAAAATCCCTCAACTAAATAGTCTAGTATAAACACTGAAAAACATTCTTAAATATTACCACGATTTCGTAACAATTAGCATTCCATCATTATCATCATTTAGTAGTTAGATTTGAAGTAACTAACTCTAAGTTCACAGAAGAAGCAGCAAAGACGGGACTTCAGGTGAACGTAGAGAAGACAGAGGTGATGAAGATACTCAACCAACAACAACTACTACTACAGCAAGTACCAATCCCCATCAGCGGGAAAAATCTAACGGAAGTAGTCTCTTTCATCGTTTCAACTACAGGCGGCACAAATGAGGACGTCAAAGAGAGGATCAGAAAAACAACATCTACCTACGCTCGTTACTGAAGACCAGATCAGAAGGCCACAAAGAATAAACAAAAAGGAACTCTGGCTGACAACGAACCAACCAAGAATCTATCGCCCAATAAATATGCAGAAGAAATTGGAGATGGATTAGACTGGTCGTACACTGAGATAGAAAGAAAAAATGACGAGATGGGCGTCCGAGGGTGATATGGAGGAGATCTTGAGAGGAAGAAATGAAAGCTTGCGGTCAGTTAAGGAGCCAGGTTGAAAAGACTACAGAGAATAGAGTGAAATAGCGACGTGCTACAGAAGACCTATGTTTCACTAGAAACCCAAAGGAAAAAAAATAACTCTGAGTTCGGTTATAATGGTAGTATAAGTGTCTAAGCCAAACATCAACATGAATGAGTCATAGTATATAGTACTTCATGAGGCGAGGATTCAGTGGCTTTATTGAAAATCTGCTCATCAATTTTACATTGGTTTGCCAGTATTGAATAAACTTCAACATCTTTCAAAGACTAAAACGATGGCATGTAATAATGAAATCCAGCACACAATTAGATACTCCATGAAAAGCTTAAAGAAGCCTGGCAATTTCACAAATTAACTAACTGACTCAAAAACACTACAACTTCAAAATAGGTGGGTAGAAAGAAAGTGAATAATGAAATTAGAATGTTTATAATCTCTGCCAATATTATGGAGGGGGATTATTGATCACGTTAAATCAAATCACTTATTGCATGGTCCCCTAAGGTCAACCAATTATTGTTGTTTAGTATCAAGTACATATACAAATAAACATTTACACTGAATAAACTCACAGTAAAGAAAGCCATTGCTCCATATTCTTCAATTTGATATGTAAATGTTATTGTCCCCGGTTTAAGATTGTATACTTTCATTGAAAGTATAATAGCACAACTTGCTGTTGTTTTACCGACCAGGTATTTACCTTGAGGTGACCAACCAGTTCTAAGAGGGATATCAAACAGCATTAAATCATATTGATAGGTAACACTTGAAACAATCATATATCATAATTATGACAGTATATACAAAAATATTGATTGCCAGTGATATTATTTCTCCACTATAGCCTTTAATCTACTATTTGTTTATTCCATAGGAATAAAATCCTTCCAGCCAATGATATGGAATATCAATGTATGCTAATGTGTTCTAGTACAACTTGAACATATTGATTTAATAAACTGAAACATGTTATGGAGTTATGAAGTGATTCAAGTTAATATATGGTTCAATAATAAAGAAAAGGAGTGGAGTTTACACTGATACTTGATGAGCATAAAACAGAAGAATCTAAAAAGTAGAAATGAAGAGGATATAGATACTTCCTAAAAGGAATAAATAACTCCATACCATCGACCTACAACATTTGCAGTATCAGGCTTGTCTACAAACAACTTTACACCTAGATAATGTAGTATATCTTACCAATTAAATAAAGTTAAATGACTATATGGTGTATATGGTCAGTAGATGCGTGAAACAAGAAAGAAAAACTTCCTTTCTTAAAGTATATCACTTTAATGATTTTTGAATTGCTTTTCTAATTTAGATTGGAATTTCATACTAGATACATTTACTGAATACAGTATCGTTAACTTGATGACATTCTGAGTCTAAATTATTACTCATAATGATATCAAAGTAATCACATTAACTCTGGATATCCGACTTTTATAGTCTTATCATCTCGTGTTCTTTGTTTCTAAGTGGTAGCAAACAATTCCACATCTTCAATATGGATGTTGCATCATTTCTGTTATATTTGTTGGGTGTTGGTTCTATGAATGAAGACACGGTGACCAATCTCTCTCTCCTTGTCTCCATGTTAATATATTAGACTTGAGAACACTTGTTTTGTCTCACCCTATTGTGTGGTTGTGTGTTAATGCATGCATTGCAAATATTGAGCTTAGTGAGGTCTATCATTATTCACTTGACTAAATTCCTATGTTCTGATAATATGAATAACCTTGATCGGTTAGTTTAATTTAACCTATGTACTTGACTTCACAATCATTACAAGTTATTTGGTCTAATTTGGTCAATAGGATCCTTAAACTGGACAATTTTGTAGATTTAAATGCCACACTGTTGTCAGCCTTGTTAAGAATCCTACTTAAAGTCTCTGGTGTTCAACTATGGTACAGTAACACAATACAAGCCTTGAACTCCCTTCTATTTGTGTTGTCATTACTATTCATATTGTTATTACTACTTCGTTTCTTTTGCATCCTTCAGAATCTTAGAATGAACTGTAGAGAATAGTGATCGATTACTAGTGTCCACTTTGTATGTTTGAACTCCTTGTTTCACATTGTTTTCCAACCCCACTATTTTTACATCGAACTTAACTCGCCTTAACCGATGGTGGATGAGATGAGATTAAATCAAATACCGACTACAATCCACTGGTTTTTCGTTTCACTTAACAATCCAACATAGTTAATTCTTCTTGTTCACTTCCGAACTCCTGAGCAAATTGGATTACACCTACTACTGAGTTTGTATGTGTGCAGAAACTATCGATATATTCTGATTTCGACACAATAAATATGCCCACATATCGTCACAACTTTCTAGGACTGGGAATATATATCTTTATCAATCGAACCAAAGCCCAACACCTGTATTAGGAATGACACAACACCTAAACTCGAGATGTGAAAAACTTTGCTGCTACTAAGAAACAAATAACACGAGGTAATAGGACTATAAAAATCAGATTTCAAACGTTTTGTGATTACTTCGATATGATTATGAGTGATAATTTATGCTTGAAACGTCACCAAATAGATAGTACTGTATCACAGTGTTTTTTACCAACTAAATAAATGTAATTTAAAGGCGCAAAATGACAGTATCCCCTTTCTTCACGTTCTCCTGGTAAGAAGATTAGATGGAACTCTGCAACGGAGTGTATATAGAAAGCCAACATCGACGGGTCAATATACCCACTTCTTTAATCCCATACCCATCCAATACGAAAGAAACCTGGTGGAATGAATGTCTAGCATGCCGCACCACAGTTATTTTCTCATATGATGCTATAAAGGAAGAGTTCGCCACCCTCCGTGGCCTGCTTAGTGGGAACAGCTGTACAGAAAAGTTTGTAACCAACCATATGAATGTTAAGAAGGTAAGACAAGAACGCCAGCAGTTCCTAACAAGCGAATGTTCTCGAAGCTGAAATTTAAGAGTGGCATTGCCAGTGAGATCATCATACAACGCACGCAAACAGCCTTGCAAAAACCACTCACAGCTACTAAATTATATCCCATCTCTTACAACCACGCGATTCTAGGTATAAGAAATAAAGACAAACTGCCTGATTCTGCTACCTACATGTACGTTTATCAGTTCAACTGCTCCTATGAAACGAGTTACCTTGGGCATACAATGAGGCCGATCCATTATCGAATTTCTGAGCACCATCTGTCACGGTTGAGCAAGGGACAAATCAGAACAATAAACAGCTTCATATTTGACCACTCAGCTGACACGAGACACAAAGTGGGTACTAGAACAGCATTCAAAATTATTCATCACACACCAGTTAATTTACCACATGGATCACACATTTGCTTACTTCACATAGCAGAGGCGATTGCATCGAACTTGACAAACCTAAATTTTGTATTCATAAGAAGTTCATTCGACCAATTTTGTTACCGTGGCCGTCAACATCATGTAACGCCTAGTATTACTTTTTACACCTCTTTACCATCACCTTGTTTCTACTAATATCTATTTGTTTTCGTATTGTCAAGTAAATATTTGTTGTTTGTGATTGAATACTGGCTAAAATCAGTCATTTTACCTCCTAAGAATACCCTACTTCATGTTACCAATTTTAATTACCCTATCAATTATTTGCATCTTAATTTCTAAAACTTATCATCGTGACTTACTTAAAGTCTATAATTATTGTTCACCAACCGCCTACCACTTGATTGGTATTTTTTGATTGAATTGTAAACCTATATGTTAGTGTAGAGTCCCAGAAGAAGACTTGATTGAAGAGGAGTATATTTCTTGTCTCAGTCTTTTTTCTAACATAGAATTGTATTCAGTTACACTGAATAAGTTGTACACTTAAATTAAATTGGAATTTATCTAACATGCCTTACTTTATATTGTTCACACATTCACTAAATCTTCTGAATGCATCTATGTTACACCAATGACTTTCTGTCCTATAACTTTGTCCATCAAATCTCATCTCTAACACCTGTTTGAGCTTCACAATCGAGTAACAGGGTTGATGAACACCTCAGAAGAGCTATAATTTGAATACGTAAGTGGATCTCATTCTTGTTGTGTTCGTATCTATATTTCATGCGTGTTACATACATAAGGATGAAAGTAATTGCCTAAATAAGACTACATATTATCACAACTCACTAGTCGACTTTATATTAATGAGACTGGTTACCTGCATTTATTTTAGGACTTATGCCTAAAAACTGCCAGATTTCTAAAACGTTTGGCAACGTGGTAAACTATAACTCCACTTTACTTGGCTTAATATGGTGTATCATACAGTAGGACACCACTATTTAATGGTAAATTAGGTTGGGAAATACAAATACCAAAATAATGAACAACTAAAGGGGAAATACAATCACTACTTCAGTGCACAATCTATTCTGTAACTAATATTTTTTCCCTGTTTGAGGCATCTAAAATCCATCTGAAATGGAATTGCCAGATATCTGCTTAAAAAAGTAACACAGAACCCATTTCTTATTGAACCTGATACCTAGTAGAAGTAGGTTATAACATTACTCATGTTCATTTACTGAAGGGCTGAGATTAAATTAAATATGTCTTGTGGATATATGGACATAAGGATACAGAAGTTGCTTTATAACTCTCAGATTTATCGCAAGGCATGTTCAATATCCTACTTTCTAAGGAACAAAAAAGTTACCGAATGAAAATGATTGCTCCTGTCAGATATATCGAACTAACCCCAAAATACGTAATGTAACCAATAAGTAACGTTCTCATAAAGTCAATTCATTTCACTTTTTTAGTTACTTATAGACTATATCGACAAAAATTAAAATGGTTTTCATGTTAAAAGCACCCTTTTCAACCTGAATGGAAGAAATTTTTTCGAAATGTATTCCCATCGAAAGGACTTCAAATGGAGAAGCTAAGCTACCCTTGGTATTAAATACCAATTGATTTATTAAATAGTTATTCCATTTTAAAAAAAGGATATCGTCAAAGATTTCCAAAGAAGACAGCCGTTTGCCTTTTGAGAATTGAATTACTTCATATTAGGTAAACCAGAGTAAAAAACTTGTTAGAAACTAAAAGGGAAGTTTTACCAGCGCAACTTATCGAAAACTTTGGTGAGGTAACTTCTAATATGTTATTTGAGACGCTCTTCTTTTGCTAAGTGATCTTCTAGAGGTGTTGCTTTGAATTAACACTAGCTTTAATCAACAAATCGCATGATACTGCACTCTTGACTAACACTAACAATAGAGTAGACAGACTCTGTTCATCTGAAGATAATAGCTGGAACTACTCGCAAGAAGTCCTACTCAGTCACAAAGTAGTCAGTATAAGCATAGATATATAAAACGAGGTCATTTTTCGGACAACAGAAGCTTGGCGAATGGGATATTTAAAGAAATGAAGCTTTTCACTTACTCCAAATGGATAGTTATACGTCACCAGTAGGTTAACCAACGGTACTATCCTATTTATATTCCACAAACTGTGACAAAACTTACAGAATATAAAAAAATAACATGACGGTCATGTACGAAACACTGTTGCCAGTGGTAGGAACTGGAGTGCTTCCTTGATTCGTTATGTGACTAATTCGAATGATCATGCTAACTTTTCAGAATACGTTAACCACCATGATCAAATAACTATGGTTCATGTGTATATTACGGGTATAGGAATGAGGAAGTAACTTGCAA